GGAATATGCCTTGTGATTCCTGATTGTGTGCTTTCGCTCACAGTTTTCTCTTCCTCTGGAATGCCCTTCCCTCATCATCGAAAAGCTTGCGTCTTTCATTCAAGACTCAGTTCAGATGGCAATGAAAGTACACAGGTTGTTTGTCAGAGGAATATATAAGTTTATGAGAATCTGGAGGGTGGAAACGCCCAGGGAAGTGCCAAACTCAGAAATCATTTAAAGATAAAAGTGTATTTGGGCACTATTTAATATAGATGCCCTATGAAACAAATTGCACTAAAGTAGCACCCCCGTTGTTATTACGCGAAGCTTTGCTGTGAGCAGACGTGAGGTTTTTTTCTCAAACCTATGGATTTCAATTATACATGCTGCAGCTGTCATTCATTAAGTGAAACGATCAAGAATTGTCTGCATTTTAACCATTTGGTGTTTGCTGTAATTATTTCCCTCTTAGTGCTCTAAAGGAAAACGTGTTGAGACCGTGAGGAAAGGGGGGAGGTGGAGACATGGAGCCCCAGAAGCCTGGTCTGTCACCACCATTGATAAGCCTCATTCCTCTTTGGGACACTGACCACAGCTGCTAAAGATCCACTACAGGCTCAGGATTTCTCAGCAGTCAGAAGCAAAAAAAAAAAAAAAAAAAAAAAAAAAAAAAAAAAAAAAAAAGCTGAAATGTATACCTATTACCCATCTTTCTTCCTTCAGCCATTCCCAGATGTTTAGTGTAAAACAAAATGCTTTAAATGCTTGCTTTCTTGAGGAGGAGAATCCTAATGATGGTCAGCAAGTGATAAATGATTCTTTCAAGTTTCAGATCTGAAGCTGAAGTTTAGCAGTAAAGAAAGAAAGAATAGGCTGCCACAGCCCTGTGGTCACTGGCACCAACTTTCTCATGGACTTAAATTATTCTGGATTAGAGAGGGACTGAATCCTTAGCCCAGGAGAGGTGAAAGAGAATGAGGTGGAAGAAGGTGGTGAGAAACATCAGGCAAAGGTAAAGGCGTATTGAACCTCCCGTCCTCTCTGTTGATTTTGATCCAAGACTGTCAATAAGTAGTCTAGAAACCACTTCTGGGGGTGCTGGGTGGCTCAGTCCATTAAGTGTCAGACTTCAGTTCAGATCATGATCTCACGGTTTGTGAGTTTGGGCCCCAAATCAGCTGTCATCCCAGAGCCTGCTTCGGATCCTCTGTCCCCTTCTCTCTCTGTCCCTCCCCTGCTTGTTCTCTCTCTCTCTCTCTCTCAAAAATAAAGAAACATTAAAAATTAAAAAAAAAAAAC